AGCACACACAACCCACAATTCCTCTATTCGCTCCGACGAAGGGCTAACGCTCGAAACGTCAGCTTTTGTAATCGTTACGGTGGCCAATTTACCATTTCAACTTTGTTGATATATCCAAATTATTTCGTTACCCCCACCGACGCAGCTCCAAACAGTTTCTTTCGAAACTATCAGCCTTTATGAAATTGGAAGAGTCTAGTACTTAGATTTAGCAATAAGTATAGGTAAGATTTGGAGTGCAATTTGGAATATCTGTCGGCCTACAGTCGGCCGAGAGATATTTTGAGGACCTGTTCTTCAATTTTACGGAGAATTTTTGTCATAAAGTAAGATCAATGGCTTGCAATCAAAGAAGGGTAAAACATTTAAGCCGGCGGGGCGCCAAATGAGCTTCTAGTCACGTGCGTAAACTTAACGCTATTGTTGAGAGGTGGTAATCCGATGGAGTTACTGCCTGCAGACTCGCTTCCATTGATTCGCGCTTCGTTCTGTGTCTTTTGTGGTTATTACCTTGGAAGAATTTATTTGCTTTCTGAATCTTAGCGAAGAAATAAACAAAGAAGAGTGACCGAGGGAGAACAAGTCGGTTTTCCAGTTTTCTTGACTTTTAAGAAAACTTTCAAAACTTTGTTTCAGACATTCTGCCTCTTCTCTTTAAAGAATTAAGTGTCCTGTCCCAAGTAAGAGCCCTTTTTTGAATAAGCCTCTCTTTAGGTAACAAAAGTAAATAATTAAGTGCCCTAGGTGCTAAATCGAACCATTATGGTATATTATTTTCTCCAATTTTTTCAAAGGCTAGAGTGGCTTTTTGTGAAACAGTCATGGCAGACAGTACTTCAAACAGTGAAACAGTCGCAGGGGACAGGAAAATTTAGAATGAACAGTCATATCTCCCAATATTTTCTGGCATCTGAAACAAGAACGAGGCCAAAATCCTTTTGCAAAATTAAACGAAAGGATGGCCATTTTGGCTGGGGCTGTTTGGTTGATGATGCTCCTGATGAAACCTCTGACTGGACCAAGTACTTTATCCTTACAAGCAGCAAAGCTATTCCAAAGGAAAACTTTGATGCCAAAGAATACGAAGTGGAGTTTACGAAAAGAAGGGGAAAGTGCTGTCGTCTAACAGATATCGCAAAGACAGTTCATCATATTCTCTCTGGGTTAGTTCTGATTGCTATTTATCCTCAGTCCTACGAATTCAACCATGCCATGTTTCAGACGGCACCATGTTTCAGACGGCACAAAAGCTGCAGTGTTTTGGAAAAAAGTCCTAGGGTAGATGTAGCTCGCAGTGAAAGTTCATCCCACTTCTTTTTTATCGATAAAGAACTTTATGATTTTCAGCCAAACGGTAATACCAGTTTGAAAGATGGTTACAAAGGTTGTTGCTCTGTTTTATTTGAATTGAGCAATGAGGATTTAAAAGTACAAGCAGTTGGAATAGTGAATTTAGAGGATAATGGTCAGAGTTCTCCCATCTTACTACCAAAATCCAGTTTAAACACAATCTTAGGTGAGTATGTTTTTTGTTCAGGTTATAATAATTCACATCCATGACGAATGTTGTTGAATTGGCTCATATGCGGGTAGAGAGAAGTCTGGAGTTGATCTGGCCAGTATCATTTTATTGAATGGTACATAGAATTCAGTTTTATATTTATAGTAAACAAAGGAATGTATACACGCTATCAGAAAGGCACTAGATAGGTTATTACTTTGTCTGTCCTTACAAGACAACTCACTTTTATACTAGATCGAACCAAAACAAAGTCTACCTGTCTGGTACATGCTAAGATGCATTAGCAGTGTTTCAATCCTGGCCCTTTTAAGGTTCCATGCAAGTTTTTAAATTAATTAACAGAAAGGCAATGATTATCAAATTGTTGGTGTTGCTAACTGTGGATGAAAAAAGTTTTCAGGTTAATATATGGATAAAGAGACAGATGATGAGAAAAATGAGGGAAATAATGAGTGATTATCGATCATGATAATTTACCAGTATAACTGATTTTATCATATAAGGGGCAAAATTACTGAATTGTGATTGGCCAAGACAGAGGGCATTTTTCTCT